TGTGTGTGTGTGTGTGTGTGTGTGTGTGTGTGTGTGTGTGTGTGTGTAGCCATGCTGGGGTATACGTATTTTTCCAGTATGAAGTCTGAGCACAGCTGGTCAGCACATTTTTCTCTACAAACTCTTTCCTCATAATTTTTACTCATTATTCCTTGTGGTGTTCCTGGGAGGTATTGATAGGGTGGGGTAGAGGATGGTGAGGCTGAGTAGTTATTGCCTGGGTTCCAGATGGGAAAACTCACACTTTGGAGATGATGGTTATTTCCTGGGCAGCTTTGCTTGGCTTATAACACCCTCATCCCCACCCCACCCCCAAATTTCCATTTTGGCATTCCTCTCCAGGATTCTACTGTTGAGCTTTAGGCAGGATTCAAGAAGAATTTACTACCTCTCCCCTCCTCCCTGCAGAGAATTAGGCCCACTTATACATGCACAAAACCAACCAATACTCCATTCCTCTGTGGGTTTCCTAGATCATTATATCCTGACTCACATCATGGTAATGAGGTCATTGAGGTATGTGTGTGGAGAGGGGTGGGTCGGGACTCATTTCTTTTCTCCCCCTTTCACAGAGAAGGTAGTGGAGGCATTGACGGCTGCCATCTTGGACCTGGTGGAACTCTATTGCAATACTTTCAATGCTGACTTTCAGACAGTAGTGTCTGGGAACCAGAAGCATGAGCTGATCCAGGAGGCTTGCCTCCTTTCTGGGCCCCTGGCCTTCACAGTTTATGCCACTCACAGAATTCCTATCACCTGGGCTACCAGGTGAGCATCAGGGCTGGGCAACCTTAATGAGAAGGCAGTGTAGTATGGTGAAAAGAACAGTGGGTCTGGGATTAGAGGACCTTAACTTAAATCCAATCTCTAATGCTTCCTACTTGTATGACCTTGGACAAGTCACTTACCCATTCTAGACCTCAGTTTTCCTCATTTGTTTTTACAGGATAGTTGGAGTGGCCAGCCTCCAAGGTCTCTTTTAGCCTTAGTTCTTAGGTCCTATGAATGTTGGTTGGACTGGTTTTGAATAGAAAAGGAGTTGACAGAATCACTTTTCCATCTCTTCTCAGCTTCCCCTGCTTGAAGGTGCCCACCTTATTGCTGGACTAAAAGATCTCCCATAGACTGCATGGGGTAGTGGAAAGAGAGCCCTGCGCCTGGAGTCAGGGGCTCCCAGTCTGAATCCTGTCTCTCAGATACTGAGTAGCTGTGTGACCCTGGGCAAGTCACGTAACCCTCTTTGGCTTCCCATTTCCTTTTCTGCAAAATGAGGATAAGGTGTAGTGTTCTATCTCGTAGGATTCTGAGTTTAACCTTGGAAAGACTACAGGGATCATCTAGTCTCATCACCTCATTTTACACAGGAGGAAACAGATTCAGAGATTATGCTAGAGCACAGTCTCTTGACATATGTAGTTTGCTCAATGTCACAAAGTGGACGAGGTGGGATTCTGACATAAGCCCTTGACTCCAAATTTAGTGCTGGGGAGAGTGTTCTGTAAATCACCAAATGCCAAATGCATGTGAATTGTTGGTAATTATGGAGAAATTTTGGACCCTAGAGGGCACCTGGAGTGGGGTGGGAACTCCCAAGGGAAAAGGAAGACGATGGCCACAGTAGAACTGGTGCCATAGAATTAGGAAAAGGAGTCTCAGAGTCCAGACTCGGCCATCTCCTTTCTCTAGTCTGTGCAGGCATCCCAGCCCCCTCCCAGTTCTGGGCCTGAGGGAGAGACTGTGACAGATGGCCGGTTCCCCGATAGAGTGCATGCCCCTGGTCGATGGCTACACTTCCCAGCAGAGACACAATGGGGAGGGGGGAGGGGAGGTAGGAGATGACCCTTTGTCTGGGGTCTCTAGGCCTGTCGGGGTGGGAGGAGGGGGCTATGCAGTTGGTAATCCTCCGTTCCTCTTCTGGAGCCAGGGTGGGTGAGTGGGGGACCAGAGGAGATACGAGGGAGTTGTACTGGGCTGTGTAGTAGTCAGTGGACTCCTCCCCGCCCCTTCCCTCCCCTTCATCCCCACCCCTAGCCCTTCCCTTTGTTCCATACTTAATGTATTCCTCTGGGCGATTGGCTGGGAACAAAGAAGGCAGCCTGGGAAATCGGGGCCTTCTCTGACCTCTCCTGTCACTAGGCACCTGTCATGAGCCACAGGGACCCCCATGTGTTGGCATTCATGGAGGCATACGTCGCTCTTCCTCTCTCCCCCTCCCCCATACACAGACAGGACATGCCTGGTTAGTTTGGGGGAATAGAGAAAGAGCAGACTTAGAAACTGAGGACTAGGAAGCAAGATTGAAGAGATCCCTTGCTTGCTGGGCCTGAGTGAAAAAAGGCAGCTCTGGGGGCCCTGAGCTCCCACTTGGAGCTGAGGAGAAATAAAAGGTTGGAGGTCGATTCTCCCAGAGCAGCCTTCCGAAAGAGGCTTTCTGATTTTCTCTCCCTGTTTCCTTGCCCTCCTCCACCCCATTTTGGAGTTTTCAGGCTTTCCCCTGTAGCATTTGAAAGGAGTTTAACTAGAGAAAGTGCTTACTGGAATACCAGGTAGGCCTGGAGGCCTTGTTCATTTATTCATTCCCACATGAAGCTTTTAGACTAGAATCAGGGTGAAAGAAGGTGGTGGTGGGGAACTAAGTGAGGTTGGTGGTTTGGGTAGGGAAGCATGGTACCCTCATCTGTTCTCTGTGTCCTTGTGTAGCTATGAAGACTTCTACCTCTCCTGCTCCCTCAGCCATGGTGGCAAGGAGCTCTGTAGTCCCCTACAGACCCGAAAGGCTCACTTCTACAAGTACCTCTTCCACCTCATCGTTTGGGATCAACAGTAAGCCACCCTCTACCTCCCCAGTCCCCCGGCTCACATGACCTGCTCAGAGTTTGAGGCAGACAATGTCCATTGTGTCAATCAACTGAGGGAGGTATTTGGGGCCCATCTGATACCTCCTTAAAAACTACAGCACTTGGGCCATTGGGCTAATGCTGGACTGTTCTCTGCTGGAACCTCGCCCTTTCAGCTTGCTTATATTCCTAAAGGAGGAGTATAGATGGGCATCCCTCTGAACACTCTTGCTGGTGGCAAAATCAGTGTGGTTTATAGGAAGATCAATAAGCTGGTAAAAGATAGGGGCATTGTTGAGAAATGCGGGTTTTATCCAGATAGTTTAGGGGTTCTTAACCTTTTCTCTGTCATGGACTCCTTTAACAGTCTAGTTTGTAAATGCACAAAATACATAGGATTTAAAAGGAAGCCAATTATATTGAAATCTGTTATCAAAATATTAAAAAAAATATTCAAAGATCTCATCTTAAGAATTCATCAGTGTAGTACAATAATGACAATAATAGCAGCTGACGTTTCCCTAGCTCTTGAAGCTTGGCAAAGCACTTTGCATAGATTATCTCATTTGATCCTCATAACTCCATGAGGCCAGTCCCCTGTGTAGTATTATGCCCATTTTACAGATGAGGAAGCTGAGGCTGAGAAAGGTAAAATGACTTGCCCATGGTTTTATATAGTGTCAGAGAGAGAGAGAGAGAGAGAGAGAGAGAGGGAGAGCTTGATTTCAGGTCTTCTTGACTGTACAGGTCCAGAGCTTTTTACTAGTAAGACCACATGCAGAAGACCTGGGTTCAAGTCCATGTTCTGCTACTTGACTAGTTGTTACTGTGAGGCAATTCATTAAAACTTTCCAAGCCTCAGCTTCCTCAATCTGTAATATAAGGCTAATATTTGCCCTTCTACCTTACCAGTGGTTGTGAGAGCACATCTGTGACATCACTTTGAAACAGAATTGTGCAAAGTAGATTTATTATTTTTAAATTATTCTTATTATTTTCTTATTTATTTTCTTAATTGTTATATTAATTATTATTTAATCATTATTCTATCACTCTGTTTATTTATTTGTTTGTTTATTTGTTTATTTATTTATTATTATGTTTCTCCTGTTACAACATACATTCCTGGAGGGCAGGGAAGATGTTTTTGCCTTTTTTGGTATTCCCAGCACTTAATGCAGTGTCTGACACAGAGTAAGCACTTAATAAATGCTTGTGGATGGACTGGCTGATTGGCTCCAAGAGCTGTGCATATTAATTATTTTATTATTAATTATTTTAAATTATTAATTATTTTATTATATTTATTATTTCTGGCAATAAGCTTTTTTTTAAATCCTTACTAGTGGTAATAGTGCCTGTTTATATAAGTTCTTCAAGGTTTACAAAGTGCTTTCCTCACAACTCCGAGACAGGTAGGCAGCTTAGCAGAGAAGATTTGTTCCTTGAATCTGTGGCTTCTGGTTATTTTCTGTTTTGGTGAGATATCTGTTCTCTGCTCTACCCAACTGCAAGGGAACCATAGTTAGGAAAATTTTCTCTAGTTTGCTGCCTGCCCCCTTCCGTTGAAGTCAATTTAATTAAGCTAATATACAGTCAATTTAATTAAGCTAATATACAGGTTGGAGCCTGGGTTAGGTACTTGGGGGTTTAGATGAAAGAACTCAACCCTTACCTTTCAGGAAACAAATAAATAGAACCAATAACAGAGATATTTTGAAGTAGCCAGGTGTTTCCAGAATGATATGAGTGGGTTATTATCAGAGAAAACTTCTTGGAAAGAATAAAATATAGTAGGCAGGACTAGGTAGGCATGAGGTAGGCTATATCAATTCTAGTGGTTATCCTTCAGATTCCCAACTCCACCTCCCGGTGGAAGCTGCAGGTTCACCTGATACTGGTACTTGGTGGGTGAAAAAGAGAGTAGTGGAGAAGTATTTAAGGACTGAGCAAAAGAAGGGTCAGGTGGCAGGTCACAGTGCATGACCTCGGCTTGAGATGCCTTTCCCTTCTCCCTTCTCCCTTCTTTATTAAGCCGGAAGAAGGCCCAGGAACTGGCCCCTGATTGGAGAGCCAGTTGGGGGAGAAGAGTAAAACCAGCCTTTGATTTCCTTTGATGCTGGGCCACCTGACCCTGTCTCCTGTTACCAAAATGGGGGATCAAGCAACTCTCAAAATAGTCCCAGCAGCCTAGCCGTTGCTGCTCCCAGCCAAGCCCCAGGCTGGCATGTTCCCTGGCTGGTGCAGAGGGGACTAATTATAGTTGTACAGGCCTCCTAGGGTAAAGGAAGCTGGGACAGAGTAGTGTTGTCACAGTCCCTGGAGGGAGCAGTTCGCTGGTCCACATGGGGGTCTCCCTGGAGGAGATAGGGGAGTGGGGCTTCCCTGTGGTGCTTGCGTTGGGGAAAGGCCATTTGTTATGGGACTGTTAGCTAAAGGGTAATCCTGCCAGTGCCCTCTGGCTATGAATCAGCCTGGCCCCAGGCCGGGAGGGTGTGACAGTGTGGACTTTGGCCCAGAGACAGACTTGGAAGGTAAAGTAGGTTCTCCCCATCCCTTTCCTCATATTGAGCTGGGGGTGGGGTGGGTGGGTGGGGGAGGTACAACTGATGGATCTGGATCTGGGGGATGGGATACACACAGAAATCTGGATGTCTGTCTTGTTTCCATCCCCTGGGTGGGGCTTGGGAAGCACCCTAGGACCTTAAGGGGGCTCTTTGGCTTTCAGAATTTAGGAAGATGTGGCTAGAAAGAAGAGTTGGGGGCATCTGAGGACAAGTTATTAGTGGTGGGGAATAAGGAAGGGATCTGAGATGGAAAAAGAGCATGTGGTCCTGCTTGATTGGGGTTCTTGGTGACATTACTGAGGAATCCTGAAAGAGGGTGGGAATCCTACTAAGTAGGATGTGTGTCCATCCTAAGTCCTGATGTGGACCAGATTGTTGAAGCCTTGTTGGTTCATAGCTGGCATTCTAAAAGTTGGTGGGATTCTGCCCCTCACCACCACCTTAGCCATTGTTTTGGACTTCACAGAGGGACTACTCTTTGGTTCTGGGAAAATTCTGCATTTTGTCTAATGTTTTGGGGATTCTGCCAATTTTAGAGAATGGCTTCTCCCAGAGCTCCCATCTCCACCCTTAAAGAATAGGAACAAACTGAAAGTTTCTAAAATACTTCTTTGGATGCTTTATGGAGGAAAATAAATTCTGCACACAGCATCACCCCTTGAGTTGGATTTTCCTTCTCTTTAGGATCTGCTTCCCTGTTCAGATCTACCAGCTGCCCCGGGAGACGTTGCTGAGCGCCACTCTCTATGCCGTGCCCATCCCACCACCTGGCAGTTCTTCTGAGGCCAATAAGCAACGACGGGTCCCTGAAGCCTTGGGCTGGGTCACCACCCCTCTCTTCAACTTTAGACAGTACGTATACCCCACTAGGTCAGAGGCAATAGAATTGAGGCTGCCTAGCCTTGGGATTTTTGGAGATGGACCTAGTTATGGAGTTATTTGACACTTTAAGCTCACCTCACGTTCTCTTTTCTTTTTCTTTTCTTTTTCTTTTTTTTTTGGGGGGGGCTAGGCAATGGGGTTAAGTGACTTGCCCAGGGTCACATAGCTAGTAAGTGTCAGATCTGAGACCGAATTTGAAATCAGGTCCTCCTGACACACACTCCTAACACACCCCTGGGATACTAACAGTAGCATCTGGGCAGAGTAAAGACATATGTATTTTGAGGGAAAAAGAAGGGACCACTGATGCTGGAACCATTAGGGCACTCAGACCTAGGTGAATTTAGTCTAAGACTTCATTGGGGAGATATTTTTGGGAATGATGAAAGAAAAGTCCATGATTTGTTGGAGAGCAGAGAAGTGCCTCAGTGGGATGATAGGGGTTCATAGGTGGTAGAAAGCAGATGATGAGTAGGGTCTATATGATACTTGGGTTTGCTTGGCCCAGTCTCTTTCATGGGCTCACCTCATCACTATTGCTTCTACTTAGAGTGCTGACCTGTGGCCGGAAGCTTCTGGGTTTGTGGCCAGCGACTCAAGACAATCCCAGTGCCCGCTGGACTGCACCTAACTTCCACCAACCTGACAGTGTCATCCTTCAGGTGAGCCTTGGTCCCCAGTTCTCACCCCCTCCATTCATCCTGGATCTTCCAGAGGCAGCTCTCATACTGGGGATCCTGCTTTATATGGGGATCCCTAGCAGAATAGTGGGGATGGAGGTGGGGGGTGGGGCAGGGCAGTGGGTGGCATTGTGATGACAGTAGCCAGAGAAAGGTTGTTGGGGATGAGAGGAAGCAGTTAGGGTCAGTCCTATCCTCTTGGAGGTCCGTTTTGATTCTAAGGCCCTTGGAAGCTGGTGTCTGAGACTCCCTAGAGACAATTTGATTTCTACTCAGTCCCTCAGGGTTCTTTGTAATGAGTCTTTCCCACCAGCTCCCTCCCCACAGCCACCAGGGCCTTCCCTCATAAATCACCTTGAATTTACACTGTATATATTGTGTACATCTGTAGTTATTTCCAATTATTTCTCCTGTTACAACATACACTCCTGGAGGGCAGGGAAGATGTTTTTGCCTTTTTTGGTATTGCCAGCACTTAATGCAGTCCCTGACGCAGAGTAAGCACTTAATAAATGCTTGTTGATGGACTGGCTGATTGACTCCAAGAGCTGCCCTAAACCCAGATTCCACCCCTGAGGAGCAATGTAGGACATTCTCTGTCTTCCCACTCTCATTCTGTGCACTCAGCTGATTTAGTTGGATTAAGGTATTCTTTGGGGGTAGGAGAAGGACCATGCACAGTTCCCAAGACCTGGTTGGGTGGGCTCCTATCTTCCTTCTCCTTTATACCCTGAAGCATAAATTGATTCTGCTATTCATCATCAAATATTGATTATCTACTGGCCCTGGGACAGTAAATATTGGTTAAGCACCTCCTGTTTGTCAGGGACTGTGCTAATCATTGGGGATATAAAGAAAGATAAAAGACTGTCCCTGTTCTCAAAGAGCTCACAATGTAATGGGAGAGACAACATGCAATCATTTATGCAGAGACAAGCTCTATACAGGCTAAATTGGAGACGATCAATGGGGGAAGGCAGTAGAATTAAGGGGGATTGGGAAAGGCTTCATGTAGAAGGTATAATCTTAGCTGGGACTTGAAGGAAGCCAGGTAAGATGGCAGGAGGAGAGTGAGAAGTCAGAATTCCCAGACCTAGATGAATCACTGCCCCCTCATTCACACTCATCTTGGTTACTATCTATCTCTCTGTTCCCTTACCTGCCCTCCCTCACCCCAATCCTCCAGATTGACTTCCCCACCTCAGACTTCGACATTAAGTTCACCAGCCCTCCTGGAGCAGAATTCAGCCCTCAATACGAGTTTAGAAGCCTCGGAGGGGAAGATCAGCAAAGGCTCAAGGGCATCATGCAGAAGGAGTCGTTATACTGGTGAGGCCCCTGACATCTGACCCCGCCTGCCACTGCCCAGCCAGGCACTGAGCCCTGTCCACTTTATCACCCCCAGCCTTTTCCCACATCCCACTCCAGCTAGAGGTTCTAGCCCTCCTGTTTATGTATGTCCAAAAGAATTGAGGGAGTGCCTTAAACCGCTGTTGAATTGAATTTAGTGGGTAGGGGTTAGGCAGGGATTACTTTGAGTGAGAGAGAGGGCTTCAACTAGAAAACAGGTTCCCCAGACTTTGTCTCTGAGTACAGCCCTAAGAGGGCAGCTGAGTGGTGCTGTGGATAGAGCAGTGGGCCTGGAGCCAGAAAGATTTGTCTTCCTGAGTTCAAATCTAGCCTCAGATACTTACTAGCTCTGTGACCCTGGGCAAATCACTTCACCTTCTTTGCCTCAGTTTCCCCATCTGTACAATGAGCCGGAGAAGGAAATGGCGAACCACTCTAGTATCTTTGCCAAGAGAACCCCAGATGGGGTCGTGGAAGAGTAGGGCATGACTGAGATGACTAAATAATGACAACAACAACACAGTTCTACAAAGAGCAGAGAAGGCTGGGGTAGAAAGTTAGATGCAAAGACTCTCCATCCCCTCTCTTGGTCATTGGCCCAGAGTTCTTTCAGAATGGGTTTACTTTCCTCAGGGAACCTAGTAAATCAGGAGACTCTCCAAGATGGACTCCCATCTTGGGCGCCACCTTACCACCTCCCCTTGCTCTGCACTCAGAATGACTGTTTTTCTCTCTCTCTCCTCCCTTCTCGGTCAAACACACAGAAACATTGCCATTCTTGCATTAAAGGATTTTGTGGAGAGCAGAAGAATTGAGGCTGGTTTCGGCCGCGGGGCATCTTTTCTTACCATAGGGTGGGATGGGGCTTGAAGAGGGGAAGAGACTGAGTTGTACGAACTGATGGGATCTGGACTCTGCCAATCTTTTATCTCCCTCCCAGAAAGATGCTTCTTTCCTGCCGGCATTGGGGGAATGTCTGCTCTAGCCTGGTCTGCCTAGCCTTGCAGTCCAGCCTGAACAGAGGGTGACTGTAGGCCCTCGCTTGATTCCCCTCTCCCTCAGCCCTGAAGCGGCTGATTCCTCATTTCATTAGCTCAGGCAGTTTTCACTTCCCCCATTAGACACCTGATGTCAGCCCATCCAGAGAGAGGGAGAGATGGCTCAGGAAGAGGCCCATTCTTTTAATAGCCTTGTACACCCATATGCAGACACACTCAGACACACACACACACAGACACACAGACACACACAGACACACACAGAGACACACAGACACACACACACACACACACACACACACACACACACACGGCTGCTGCCCTCTGGTGGCTACATGAGGAATGATACTAGATATTTCTTAATGAGAAGGGATGCTTTTCAGGGAAGGCTCCCGCAGGAGGAAGCTGGCTGTTGGTTCCTTTGGCTATGTCTTGTTGCTTGGATCTTGGTACCCAAGTCTCAGATTTCCCTGAGTTGGAATGGGAATAATATTAAAAGTCAACATGTCTTGAAATCATGTTAATAAGAGCAAAAGTTCTTGGATAGATCTCCATTCCTCTAGGGGACTCATTCTTGGTGCCCTGCCCTACCTACCACAGGCTCACAGATGCTGACCGGAAGAGGGTGTGGGAGAAGCGCTACTACTGCCACTCGGAGGTGAGCTCTCTGCCCCTGGTGCTCGCCAGTGCCCCTAGCTGGGAGTGGGCTTGCCTGCCTGACATCTATGCCCTTCTGAAGCAATGGACGCACATGAACCACCAGGATGCCCTGGGACTCCTCCATGCCACGTGAGTCTGACCCGAATTGCCTTCCTCAAATGGATATGCTTCCAGTCCGAGGGCCCCCACAATGCTGCCTCCCAGGGGTGACGCAAGGTCAAGGCTACTTGTGGGAACAATTTTGAAGCCGGTAAAGTTTATGCTTTCCTTAACCTAGGAAACTCCTCTATCCTATCTGCTCTAGCAAATACGCGATTCTATAGAATTATCCTTCTTCTCCTCTTCCTCCTCCTCTTCCTCTTCTTCTTGAAAACTTATGTGTTCCTGGTTCTGTTCTCTCAGAGCCTTTTGAAGTTACAGGCTTGCTAACATCTGAGGACTATTTACAGAATCACAGAATTTCAGTGGAGGAAGGGACCTTCGTGGCCATCTAGTCTAACCCATACTCCAAAAAGAATTCCTAGAGCCAATGAAAGGACCTCTAGCCCTTGCTTGAAGACTACCAGTGAGGGGAGGCCACTTTCTCCTAAGGCAATCCATTCCCCTTTAGCTCTAATTCTTGGGAAGTTTTCTTTGAGCCTCAATTTACCTCTTTATACTTCTCCCCATTGCTCCTCCTTCTACCCTCTAGGACTAAACAGAACAAATGGAATCTTCCTTCCATATGAGAGTCCTTGAAGGTGGTTCTCATGTCTCCCCTGAGTCTTCTCTTCTCCAGGCTAAAAAACACTCCTATTCCTTCAGTTCAGAAGACATGATCTTGAGGCCCTTCACCTCTTCTGGATGTTCTCTTGCCTATCAGTCTCCTTCCTAAAATGTGATG